AATCGGTCTGGTCTGGATGGAATTTCCGATTAGACTATTTTTGGGGGTGTTCCCGAGTTAGAATACGTGACAATTGCCGATTTCAAAAACGGTAACTTTTTCGATTTTCAGGTATGTTTTCGATAAGGGTCTAGATGAATGATTATATATATTACATACATACAAGTTGATTTTTACATATTTATATGTGCAGGCCCGGCTATAGGGTGGGGGTGTTTCCGCCTGGTTCCGAATTTTTCCTTAAATTTAGTTGGAAGATAAAAAATATAAAACTTTGCTAAGTAAATAAATTTTATTATTTAATATTCACATAGCTTTTGTAATATCCAATAAAAGCGAAAGCGCATGTCTAGATACACATGCAAGTGTGGTAAGGCCATTTCCGTGCTAGTCAAAACAACCGCCAATCTGGCCTAATGTGAAAAATAAAAAAGGTTCCGAAGTCAACACGTGTTGTCTAAATGTTGTGATCGCAATGATTTTCCCATGGGTCATGAAACTTTTTTAGCTCGAAATCGTAGAGTGACCTTCAAAAAGATTCGAGGTTATTTACAACAGGGGGAAATCAGAAATATAGACGACGAGTTTCTTGAATACAGCCCATCTTAGCTTAAATGAACGCAATTGACAAAAACAATAAAAACTATTTTACGCATTCACCTGTACAAACAGTATAGCAAAACAAGTTCTCCCTTTAGACGAAGTTTTTATATAACTAAAAAGATATTCTCCACATACGACGAAAATATTTGGTATTTTTCAAAAGCACTGAATAAGTGTGTAGTAATAACGTTGGAAATTCGTTTAAATATTAAAAAACAAAATTTAGGGCTAGGGGCCCGGCCCATATTTAGTACCCGGACGATAATAAAAGTTTATATTATTAAACCAAAACAAGTAAAAAAGTCTAAGTTCGGGCGGAGCCGAACGTTAAATACCCGGCGCAAGTATTAAATATATGTTTTTCACCTTTCCGAAAGCTACCGCTACATGGTAAACCGAGGTGTATCCATTTTGAGTAAATTCGCGTCCTTAAATTTCGAAATATTGAAGTTTCAAGCATATCTGAAATTTACTGTTATATGAAAAGCGGCCGTAATTTTAGTTCGATTTCAATAAGTTTCAACGTTTTGCTTCTATGTGGCAAGTGCAATAACCACACCGAGTTTGGTACAAATTGGTAGAACGGTTACCGAGATACATATATGCGATCATAAGTGGGCGGTGCCACGCCCATTTTTCAAAATTGTATCCTAAACGTATTTCTTGGTAACGAATTGTTG